AAGGTTTATGACTCAAAGCGATTAATTGATCATCAAAATAGTTTGTGATTAATTAAATAGTTGATGATTAACTTCACTGATTAATCTTCGCATCTTTAAATATCATAAAGGCTGCCTGAAGCTGATCTCATTTACATGCACGTGAAGCTCTGCTTGTAAAACTGATTTGCATTTTAACCAAAGGAATGTGTTTCTCACATTGAAGTCAACTAAACTGTGTTTAAATCCTGAAATACTTTAGAAAAACAATATGAATCTTAACATCATTAACGCCTGATTCATTTCATTCTGCTGTTGAACATCAGAGAAGCTCTTTTTTATGCTTTTACAACATTCGGTGAAACTTTGTGATTCTTGTATTTACACAAAGCAGTAAACACAAACGTTCTGCGTGTTCCAGGTGCCTTTCTTCAACGTGGTTTGCGACCAGGCTCACGGCGGAGGCCACTGTGAGATGCTGGTGGGCTACTCGGCCGTCTACAGAGTCTGCTTTGGCACTTCCTGCTTCTACCTGATGATGGCGATCTTCCTCATCGACGTCAAGTCCAGTCAGGACTTCAGGGCGCTGATACACAACGGGTCAGTCGAGGTTTTAATTGTTACTGATGATTCTCAGCTCATAGAAGCAACAGGGTCGTTCCGCCTCAGTTCACCGAATGTCCCACAACTGACCACCTTCAGTCTGACTGAAGTCACGAATATTGGTTGAGCTGATCATGTGTAACATCTGGGGTCAAAGGTAGCATCAGTTATTGAGTAAAAAACTGTATTAAGAAGGTGGGATCATGTTGACTTTTGTGTTGTTTTCTTTGCGTAACTCTGTAGATCAATGTTTGAAGTGATGTAACTTGAGAAATGTTGTAGCTTGAAACTCTGCAGGCAGTTTGAAGCACTGTGAGTTAGAAAACCAGGATTTTTATTTTAGTAATAATTGTATAGCTCTTCCAGTTGGGAGTGGCTTCACCATCATACCTGCTCAGTGCATGTTCAAATATTGGCCATAAAAGCCAAAAACCGCCTCTGACTGGCAGCATACCTTACATCTTTAAAGCTACTATTGGTTCCAATTACAGGGGAAAAAATCTGCCTATTAGGGTGAAAAATGAAGGTTTTATGGTTGGTGAAGGGAAAACGTGGACATTTTTTGACCTGATTTGCACCATCATATAACTGGTTTGTATTATTCTGTTAGAGCAGGGCTGCACCATTGAAGACCACATGTACATATCAATGAACCTGCAAAATATCAGGACTGCAGCTTCATTATTTCTTAAATGATGGAACTTTGAACATTGATCCACAGATTGGTGCAAAGAAAACAACACAAAAATCAACATGACCCATTTTACTGGATAATATGCAAAGACAAAAAAATCAGACAAATATGAAATGGTCAGACGTGAACTTTTTTTGTTTTTAACTTGGTGACTTGAGGTGGACTGACCCAACAGTGTTAGTTTTAGACGCCAAGCTCCTTGACTTTTTTAGGCTACTTGCATTTAACTGTTAGATAACAGTCTAACAGTGACACAAATTACATTAATTCAAACCTTACATTTTGTAAATGTCATTAACTTTACTCTAAATTTCTTTCCAAAGCCGTAGCATCTTTATTGATCCTGCTGACAGCAAAAAGACTTTCACATTTTTATGAGGCCAAATAAACCTCACGTCCATTATTTAACTGCACTGCAGATGTTCGCCCTACAAAGACTTTTATGTCATTTCCCTGAATCTAAATATTTAAAGCAGACTTGATCCCGTCCAGGAGCGTTTCCAGGCCTGTCCTGAAGTTCACACATCTTTAAATACTTCCCTGGACTCTGTAAAGGGAAAGTGTTTTGCTGCTCAGCTCACCTGAGCAGACCTACTTGTCTATTTAAAGCTCTCTGTTGTTGCACTTTCCGTTGCAGTCGATTAGAGCCGTGACGCTGCTCGGATTAGGATTTGACAGACTGGATTGCTGCTCCTCTCTGCTTTAAATCTGCCCTCGGAGTCTTAGTGGAGCCTCGCTGAAAGGCTTCAGGGTCTTTGGCAAAGGTTGCAGCTCTTATTGTGGTCTGAGCGACACAGTGACCTGCTGCAACCTTCCTGCAGACCAGACGGTCACATGCAGGATGAGGACAAAACAAACTGCTTCTACACTTGAACTGCTGACGTGCAGCCGTCTGTGGGGTTTGTAGGTTTTTAGTTTTAATTAAAAATTCGGTCTTTAATTCTTTGATCACACAAACGGCTGCTTCATCCACTTATTCTGCTGAAGAGTCAGAATCAGCATTTAAAAGGTTAATTACCAACAATCTGGTTGGTAAATTAATTAATTGCTTAAAAACTGCTACATAAACAAAAACATGAAAGCCAAAGATCTTGAAATCTTTTGAATGTTTATCAATTTAAAAACTTGTGGTTATAATTCTAGTAATTAAGTCCATAACACAGACAATTTCCTTTTTAAATAATCTGGAAAAACTAGTTGGAGCAACTTAATTTCAAGAGTAATCAACTGAAAAACTTGTGTTGATGCTTCTAATCATTCAGTTAAAAGTACATTGTAAGAGGAAAAGATAATTCTCCCAACTCAATGTAGTTTGTTTGAACATAATTTAATTAAATACGGTCTGAACTCAATAAAATGCAAACTGTTGTATTATGTTTGTTGTTATTTTGTTGTTAAACATGAGTTTTTTTCCCCCCATTAAATATGAGATGAATGAATGAACCCCTGAGAGTTCACTCTGCTCAATAAATTAAGGTTCTAAAGAAACATAATCAGCACTTTTCAGAGTGAGAAGTCTTCCATCTGTTTTATAGTTGAAAGAAAAATACTCTGATAAACATATTAGATATATCAATATAAACATTTACAGTAATGAAGCAGAGAGAAGAATGCAGCAGGTTGTCACATCTTAGAAGATAGAACTAGAACAATTTGTGCCATTTTCCCTTGAAAAGTGATTGAAGTTTAATGGCAATTGGCAAATTGATTGATCACTTCATTAATTAATAAATTCTATTTGGCAAAATGTCCAATTTATTTATGATATTTTCAAAAAAAAAAAGAAAAAGAAAAAAAAAAGAAAATGTTTACAGTCAGACAGATCATCCTAAGTGGTCAAACTATTGCTTTTTAAGACAAGTTTTGCTTTTAGTTCTGCTTTAATGTCACGTTTTAATGATTGGAAACTGATGGATTTTTGCAGGAAAATAGAGAAAATGGATTTGATAAACTGATTTAAAGATCCTGTTCAGTACAGAAGTTAATTAAACAGCACTTAATGTGATGGTTTGGAGTAAATGACGGGATGAAACATGCATAATAATCCTTTAAGGAATAAAATCAGTGATTTATTTTTATCTATTTACATTTATCATTATTTTTTTTTCATTGTACAAACAGAAAGAAAAATAAAGTATTTACAACTACACAAGAAAAGAGAGCAAAGAAAAAGTTCTAAGTGCAGCCATTCACACTGACTGTTGTTTCTGCTGCAGCTTCTGGTTCCTGAAGTTCATCACGCTGCTCGGGATGTGCACCGCCGCCTTCTTCATCCCGACCGAGTCCTTCCTGCACGGTAAGAAGCTGAGCTGGTCTCTTCTGGTCCACAGAGATTTAAATCTGTCCTGAGAGCACCTCCGTCTGAATCCTTGCAGAGGGCAGCAGAGATCCGCTCCCGAAAAACTCTCCTCACTCTCTGCAGGGGAATTAATTGCCGGAACATAAATCTCTGCGGCGTGGTTTCACTTTGTTTGGGAACAATAAACGTGCTGCTGATACAAGCCTGATATCACAGCTGATTTATGACCTACAGTTTGCTCTCCCCTGTTTGTGGTTTCCCTCAAATAAATCACTGCATGACTGTTTCTCTGCTCTCTCTCTCTGTCAGCTTGGCATTATGTTGGTGTGGTGGGAGGATTTGCCTTCATCCTCATCCAACTCATCCTCATCACTGCTTTTGCACACACCTGGAACAAGAACTGGTGAGTGACACAAAGTATTTTATCTTCATGAATGTATATTTATAGTGTCAGAGATACAAGACAAACTGCTGTTATTATATGACCAAAAGTAAGTGGACGCTTGTGTTTTGGCTCCACAGTTGCAGTTAAATGACATTTTAATGCTTTGTGAGAACAGTTTGTGTCTTCGCTGTTTCAACACCACAAAGCGTCTGTGCACAAACTCAGCTCCATAAAGAAAACATTTCCCCAGTTTAATGTACAACACAGGTCTGCACAGATTCATCACTTCGGCCACATGCAGCACGTTTGGGAAGAACTCGAAGGTCTTATCACAACATCAGCGTGTAAATGGGAGGAAATCTCTGCAGCAAAACATCTGGTGGAAACACTGACAGCAGAGGAGTGAAGGTCGTTAGAGCTGCACGTAGTTTTTTAATTTTAAAGTTTAGGCGTCCACATATTTTTGGCTTTTAATCACATTGAAAAATCCTGTACATTTAATTTTGCCAAAAAATCTGAACTTGTGCTGCACAAAATTAGATTTATTTACTTTTTTAATGTCCAGCTTTTTTGCAATCATTTGGTAAGTCGTTGGAAACTTGTCAGACCAGAACAAAAAAGGGAAAAGACATCACTTATTGGCTCACCTGCTCACAGACCTACAGCTGAGTTTCAACTGTAGATCATAAAGAAACACATAACTAGAACATCTTTGAGATAGAAAAATGATTAAATAAGTGGGACCACAGACTGTGTATAAAAGATGGTCAATGAGAAGTAAAGAAATACTGAAGTGTCTCAAACCTGCATTCTTTCTTGCAACCAGCAGGGGGCGATGGTTGTGGTTGCAAAAATACATCAAATTATATAGAAGTCTATGAGAAAATGATTCTATTTCTAACTTCAGTGAGCAGTTTTCTAATGAGTTGATGGTCTCAACTGTGAGGTTCAAGTCTCCTTTATTAAATCATGATGCTCATTTAGTAAATTTAGAGGAAAATAGACGATAAAGCAGGTTATGTTTGTTCAATTAAATATAATAGATTAAATAATAAAACTCAAAAAACACCCCAAACACTGCCAGTAATCCTAAAACAATTTTGTTTTTCTAAAGTCAACACTCTGGAGACACGTGTTCTCCCTCCACGGTGCCGATGTGTAATTTACTCACATATAAATACCGACTGCAGCCTGATTCACATCTGCAGAGTCGCTCTTTTCTTCTCCACCGGTGATGATGGATTCATCTTCTGTCCTGCACAGGTTTCTAAACCATACACACTGACTACAGCAACATCTGTCCCAAACAGACAGATGTGCACACAAACATACGACAGCACCACTCGCTACCGTTTTACTGCCAGAACTTTGCTTTTGTTTTACTTTTCCTCAATTTGTGGCTTTAATATTTGTTAGCTAGTTTTACTCTTTAGTGATTTTTAATAGTCGTGTAAATCTTTGCCTTTTTTTGCTTTAAATCTTTTTGTTTATTAATTTACTTCAGTCAGATGAAGGAATAATACTCGAGTCAGAACAGCAGCAAGACTCTGGTGTGAGAAGGCTGCAACTAATGATTATTTCGACAGTGATTAGTCAGGCTTTCTCGATTAATCGGTTTATAATTTTGTCTACAAACTTGTGATAAATCATTTTTAGATGGGCTTATTAGTCAACCTTACTGTCCACAACCAAAAAATATTCACATTACTGTCATTAACTCCAAAGAAAAGCATCAAATCTTCATATGTGAGAAGTTAAATTCACTCAATGTTCAGGATTTTCTGTTCATCATCTAAGAGATTCATCTACTAGAAATAAACATTTTTCAAAAGTCAACAGCACCAGCAGTCTAGCACATGTGGAGGACGTTGAGGTGATGAAGGGAGCGTTGATATTAGTTGGATTAATGTTTTTTTTTAAGCTGTTAACACAAATTAAACAGCTGCCAGAGGCACGACTTCAGTGTTATGCTGCTAAATTCCTGCTTTACTTTCCTGTTTGTTGCTTTGTTTACATCATTTTTAGCTCATTTCATTATCTGGTCGATGCTGATTAGTTCGATTAGACTTCCGTTGGCTCTCCATCTTCGTCGCCACGTCCTCATTCGTTCAGCCAGACTTGTCCCAGATGTTATTTACTGTATCCAGCTGTTGGTCTCCGTCGGCCACCTCCGAGCTCAGAGTTGTAGCTCCGACGACTAAGAGGATTTATTCATTCAGGACCTTTTCCGAGGCAAATGCACACAGCTAGACAATCCTCTTAGTCCCTTTACAGCGGTGTGAGGGTTTCATTCACCTCAGGTTAGGAAAGATATAAAATATACGTGTTATTTTCCTTTTTTTTTACAGCTCCGGCACTAAAATACCAGTCAGATTGACTCTCTCTACGTGTGCAGCATTATTATTCTTTGCATCTCCTCAACTTTAGTTCCATCTTTTCGCTGTTTTACTGTGACTTCACATGTTGAGATCAGTGTCAGTGAGGAAAATGAAAAAGAGAGCTCAAGATGTTGAAAAATCTGAGTTTTTTAAACGATTATAAGCTGATAAAATCTCCCTCGTCATTGATCAAACCCCTAAAAACTCTTCACTGTGCATCAGAATTAGAAATGTAGGTGTTTTTCTAAATCATGAAAGTAGTCAGATTCTGTCTTATAATAGCTTTGATGTAACGCTACATCTCTGCTTTCATTTAGGTCTTGATTATGCACCGTTATGGAGCATCTGCAGCTGCATTGTGGTCGCACAAGGCGTCATGTTGTTGCTCCACATTTGCATAAAGTCAAGGTTTTAGCTACATCATGTAAATCAGGTGTATCCTGTGTTATTCGCTGCTTCTGGAAACTCCCCCAAAAATATTGAAAATAACAGTTGTAGATCTAAAATACAGACAGATCCAGCAGCTGCAGGGTTTATTTCTCCCCACAACATGCTTTCAGAAAGGTATGTTGGTGAACGATTATTGTAATATAAGAGAAAGTTTCCGACTGAACCACTGTGCTGATCCAGTTTGAAATCAGGGTGCAGACAGCGAGTTTGTCCAGTCAGTCAGAGCCATTTCTCCCCAACTCACTGCAGCTCAGCACACCAGCTCACCCTCGACTCTGCTCGAACACTGAGAAACTAGTCTACACTCCACAATAACTAGTTGTACATATTAGAAGCAGAAACCAATTCTGAAGATGAACAAAGATGCAGGAAGCTCCAGTCTACAAGTTGACAGGACTGCTTCCTGAGATTTGTCATAAATAAAACCCCAGAAGTCTGAATCTGTGTTTTTTAATTTTAGAAAACACCATATGGACATGTTTGCCTTGATTTCTAACAGACGGGACTTAGAAATGTGGTGATTCAGCAACACATAATCTGCAATGATTTTTCATTTGAGTTGCATCGTTTTTAACACCAGAATAACTTTTTTCAATTAGGCTGCATGAACAAAGCACAACATGGTTAAAGGACTGCCCTCTATCTAATGGATCAACACCTTTCATGCACCAACACAAGGACATTTGGTCTTTTGCAAGGAGTCGAGAACTAAACCATCAACTCTACAACTTGTGGACAACTTGTTCTATCACCTGAATAACAGCTGAGCTACTGAGACACATGTACACGAGTAATTCTTGAGAAAAAAAGGTCAAAATACTCAAAAAATATCCAGAAATCTTGAGAAAATTGTAGATTTGCACCATAAATAAACCACTTAAATCTTTATTTGTACACTAACATTCATTTAAGCGAGTGAACATCATTGCAGGCTGCAGGTGAATCTGAATCTGTCTCTTTGTCCTCTCAGGCTGACCGGGGCAGCAGAGAACAAGCGGTGGTACCTGGCGGTGATGTGCGCCACCCTCTTCTTCTACACCATCGCCACCATGGCCTTCACCTTCATGTACAAGTACTACACCCACCCCATCGCCTGCCACTTCAACAAGGCGCTGCTGTGGATCAACCTGGGCCTCTGCGGCCTCATGTCCTTCATTGCCGTCACTCCGTGCGTGAAGCAGAGTGAGTCGATCAAACGCGCTCGTCCGTCCGTCTGTCAGCGGCGGAATAACACTTAGCGTGTTTCCAGCTGAGCAAACATCCACCTGTTAAAAGCAGAGCTGCTGCACATAATAATGGTTTGATGCAGGCTGACATTAGCGTCGGCCGTCTGCACACGTCCTGGTTTTATAATTCAAACATACAGATGTTTGCAGAGGTGAGAAGTCACACGGAGGTATTTGTGGTTACTTGTGTTTACTAATTCAGAATAAAAAAACTGTACTTTTAACTGGAGGCAGCAGATACCAGATATGTGCAGATCAAGATTTTATCGCTGTTGTCGAGTGAAAATGTTGCTTCTGCATGTGAGGACTTCTCGTTGTTACTGCATTAAAGGAAAGGAAAAAGCAAACGTTATACAAATTTGAGGTTTGAATGTATTCTTTTGAAAAACAGCAGATAGGAAAACAATCCCTCCACCAGGTCGGTTTAGTAGCTTTCATGTAGCAGCTTTGGATCATGTCATGAGATCTTCAGCAGAAGATTCATTCTCTCTAGTTGTTGTACAATTACATAAATAAATATCATCATTTTCCGACAGTTTACTCAACACACAGAGGGGCGTTCCTGTTGTTTGGTGTCGGAAAATGTTTTTTAAAAAGTGCGTTCCTCAAATCCCAAGATGACAAATGTCTTGTTTTGTCCACAACCTAAAGATGTTCAGCTCACTGTCGCAGAGGACAAAAGAAACCAGAACAAAAATTCACATTTAAGTTGATAAAATCAGTGATTTATTTATTTTTGCTTTAAAAAGTTACTTAAGCCGCTAATCTAGTATCAAGATATTTGCCAAATAATTGAAGAGGGGACAACTAATCGATGAATCAATCAACGGTTGCAGTTCTACAGTAGAGCAGCAGGAATATTTAGGTTTTTTATTTATAGTAAACGTTCAAACAAGTCCCGTAGCGTTACTCAGCTAGTTAGAAATGAGTTATGTTTTTTTTTTTTTAATGTTTACTAATTTAGACTTCGATTTAGACTGACTTTATTAATCCCAGGATTAAAAATTCTGAATTTACCTTGATTCAGGATTAATTTACCTTTTAAATAGTAAAGTTCATTTATTATATTTTATGAAAATACCCCAAACTGAAGGGTAAAGTTTCAGACCTGTAATGTTATGAAAACTTTCTTTCTTTCTTTCTTTCTTTCTTTCTTTCTTTCTTTCTTTCTACATAAATATATATATTTTAAAGTGATTTCCACCTGGATGCTTTTATAAAACAGATGCTGATTCATTTCAGATGTTTTGAGAATCATGAGGCCAATAAATAGCACATAAACACATTGAATTTATGAGCTAACAATGAAAAGAAAATGGTCCTATCATGGACCATAATCTGTTTTCTTCGCTGCAGTATTTTAGCTGATGTTAACACTTTATCCCGCTGCCTGCTGAGACAGAGTGTGCGTTTTATAACCTTTATTATATCTGACATATGTTGGCTGTGTTATGGTGTGAATATTGACCCTGACTGTCTCCGTCCCTGCAGAACAGCCTCGCTCCGGCCTCCTCCAGGCCTCCATCATCAGCTGCTACGTCATGTACCTCACGTTCTCTGCTCTGTCCAGCCGTCCGCCGGAGAAAGGTGAGTTAGCAACCAGACGCTGAACAGAAACACTGAGCGTCTGTCCAGTGTTCAGACTGACACGGCAACACTCCAGGTTTGTTGTTCTGTGTGTAGATTAAAAGGAAACATATGGAGAGGCTCCTGTATCATGGTTACAGTTTCTTACTTTAAATGCAGTAATCAGTTTTTAAATGAACCAATGTGGAACGTGTTGCTCATGAAGTGTTGTTAAAAGGTGTGACTTTGCAGCTCCACTGAGCATTTTTCAGCTTTTTGTTTGGCAACTTCACGGCTCTGCTTTACCTCTACTGCTCTATTTAGCATCTTTTTAGCGTTAAGCAGTAAAAGCATTTATGAGCTCTACTGTACGAAACCTATCCAGCCGGTGGTGGAGCCAGACAGGTTTTATTAGACGTTACCAAGCCGACACTGGGATGGCACAGAAAATCTCTGTAGACCAAATAGTTGTTTTTTTTTCTTCTTCCTACCATTTGCTCAGAGCTCCTATATTAGATGATAAGTTTTTGTTGATAGTCCCCTCATTTAATTAAAATCTGGAGCAGGAGCTAGCGTTTTGCTTTTTAAATTGTTGATAAAGCTCAAAAGATCCTTACAATTTAAATTAAATAAAACCAGGACGTGCAGGACTCGTATCACAAAAGTGTTCTTGTTCCTGAGACAGTGTTATGCTGCAGGTTCTGGTTCAGTTTTACATTTTACAGCAGTTTGTTCAACGTGTTTCTTCAAAGTAGGTTTTTATCCCGACAGTCTTTAAAAGTCTGTACAAGAGCTTCAACTAAATCCACAGTTAAACCTAAATCATGCAGCATGTAACTCATAAAAACACAAACACACCATATATTTACATTTAAAAACGTTTCAGGGACAATAGCAGGAAAATTCTTGAATTGCTACAAAATGTTAAAAAAAACTTGATAAAATGGACTAAAAGACAGAAATAAGATACGTTTAGATTAAATTAAGCAAGGAAAGTATAAAAATGCAACAAAAATGGATTAAAACCTGAATAAAAATCAACTTAAAACTCTATAAAATGGATTAAAAAGACAGAAACAAGATAAGATCAGATTAAAAAGGCAAAGTATAAAAATACAACAACATGGAAATAAGATAAATCAAGGATATAATAAATAAGGAAAGCAGAAAAATACCACAAAAACTGAATTAAAACTTTAATAAACTGGATTAAAAAGACAGAAATAAGATAAGATGTATAAAATACAACAAAAAATTGGATTAAAACCTCAATAAAATGGATTAAAAAGACAAATAAAATATGCAAAGATTAGATTAAAATACTAAAAACTTTACATATAATATAATAAAATGGATTAAATCCAAAGAAAAAGAATAAAACAACTGTTCACAGGGACAAGATCACAGTGACCTTTGACCTTCAATGTGTTCACATGTGACTCCTCTATTAGATTTTTTAAAAAAAGTCTCTTTGTGTGACATTCATCAAGTTGTGGTTATCCCTCATTATCCTGTCCTTTTGACTTAATAGAGCCCACACACACACACACACACACACACACACACACACACACATGCACAAACACAATCCTCTGTGATTTGCCTTAACTTTGCTCCTAATGACTCACCTGTGGGCTCCAGGTGAGACAAAGAGCCTCCACATGACGGAGACGTCGGTGCAGCAGCTTGTCAGAGGCCCCTCGTCTTATCCCGGGTTTACGTCTAGATCACACATGCAAATGCAGACGCACACACACACACACACACACACATCTGCACACACCCACATGTACGCCAGGAGATAATGTGGGATGAGATGTGCTCTGACATGCCGCCTGCCGGGCCGGTGGCCTGTGGTGAGGGCAGACGGAGGGATATTTGTTTCACATTCCTCCTGGATCCATTGACAACATAATAGCAGAGGAACAGAGGCTGGCAGCGTCATTACATGTTGCTCACATCCTGACGAACAGGAACGAGCAACGCGTCGATCAGGGCGAGCTATCAGACGCTTTTATGGATGTTTAAGGAAGGAAAAAGGGAAAATAAATGCAGACTCATCACTTGGTGGTTCACTTTAAAAGGTCCCATTTGGCAAAAATCTATTTTGTGGTTGTTGTAAACTTGTAGGTGTAAAATTGAATTGAATACACGATGAGGTTTCCTCCATGAACAACATCTATAAAACCTTTGTCGTTTGTCTCATCGATGAGGTTGTGACTTTAATTTTAACAGTTTTCAGTGCAAATAAAGTGTCAAAATATTCCTTTTAAATCACTTCAGCAGCATAATCTATATATGTGCTTTTTGTATTTCCAGACAATTGTGTTTAAATATAACTAACTAGCCTGCTTTTGGTAAGAACAAAACCCGAATGCAGAACAGTGTCGCAGGGCAAACAGTCATGTTGCAAAGAAGTGTGTTTAGGAAAGTTGAAGGTGAGTCTGGAGAGCTGCAGCACAAAGCAGAAGGCCAAGAGATGAGCGTAGGGTGGCGGTAAAGAGGAGGAAGGCCAGCACGGAGTTTGTGAGTAAAATAAGTTTGGGTTGGTTGGTTGAATGAACCGTCTGCTACACAAGGACGAACTTAAGCATCAGAGCAAGAAGAATCACACAGAGATGCTCAGAAAGTCGGCCTGAAAGCTGCCACAGCGGTGATGGAAAGACTCATGGAAACGCTGATAAAGTGCAGCAGCCGATCAGGTGACAACGAGCAGGTGTGAAGGCTGCACCTGGGGGAAGATAGTCAGATTCTGATTCGTCACTTCCTCGTCACATGACTCTATGCACGATCAACCAACCTGTTTTGTGTTAATACGGATGGAGGTGATTTCTAAAACGACATTTATCTGTACAGTGTGGCGGTAACTGCAGTCGAATAAAGCACAAAAACTTAAATCAGCATCTGCAGAAAAACTCACAGTCAAACAAAAGAGCTGAGAGAAGTGAGACAAAAAGAGTGAAACAGAGCTGAAGGTCAGTTGGTCTCCAGTGTGACTAGAGGTGCCACACACACTCTCTGTCTTTGTTAAAGAATCCATCTCTGTGCTGCACAAAGCTGCAAAAGCTAACGTTGCCTGATGATTTACACCAGAAAGGTCGTCGTCATTCACCTTCACAGGCACGCACAGATACTGAGTCAGAAATCTTCATTACATTCACCGCCTTGGTGAGCATCTAACAAACTCTCACCCATAGATGTATAATCAGTGGCTATAAGAACGATGGCAGCTGCCGACAGTTGATTCAAGTTTTATACAAAAACTCCAGCAGCATTTTTTTTTTTTTTTACACTTTTTGATATTAAATTCAATATGTTCCCTCCCAAGGCTGTATGTTCAAGGCTACTGCTGGCTATGTAGCTCGCTGTTATTAGTTCCTGTTTGAATTGTGTGCAACAGCTAACTGTGCTATTGTGACAAACTTAGGGTAACCATATTTTGATGACCGAAAACCAGGACACTGAAATAATATTTGAAGTTTACTCAAAGATGCCTTATTATTTCAATACAGTTAAAACCAGGACCTTTTCATCACTTGATAAAAAACAACCAGGATGTCCAGGACAGGACGTTTGGTCGTCCTACACAAACTCAAGCTGCACATTTATACATTATTTATATTCTGGCATATTTAGTCAGAAACACACCAAGCCAATAGGAGGGGTGGACTTCCTGCAGGAGTGATTTAAAAGTTTCCTATAAACATGTTGATTCTGAAACTGGCGTGACGCTGTTACTGCTGGAAATCTGATGAATCTTTTAAAACTATGCTTTACGAATATGTGCAACATTTTGTGCAATATCTGTGTTTTTCTACTTGTGCAACAGTTCTGCCATCCGAGTGTGTTCCTACATGTAGAATAAGACTAATGCAGTATTGTTATCTTCCACATGCAATGGAATCTGTGCAACATCTTAATTTCTACATGTGGAAGAAACTGTACAACACTTATGTGTATTTCTTATTTATTTTGAGTTTTTCCACTGATGCCCCTGTGTTTTTTGCGCTGCAGTTTTCCCCGCTGTGGGGTTAAGACCTGCTCATCTTATCGTATTATCTTATTTTAGCTGAATAAAGCTGCTGTCTTCTGTTAAAGAGAATCCACCACAGACAGGCTTCCCTTTAACGCCAGCTCTCTGCAAGCTTTGTGTGACTTTAAAGTTACTAAAATGACCCCAAACATGGCAGATTTTCCAGGTTTTTTCAGTATTTTCTCCTCTCTGCCCCGCCATGGTGTGTGAGAGTCTCGTGGCAGCTCAGGACATTGTAGCGACTTGTTGAGAAAATATGCGCTCTGAGACGGTTATAAAAACACCTTTTCACCTCACACAAAGACACACACACACTCACACTCACACTGTGCTGCTCTGTAATATTTAATTTCCACCTACTGCTGCTGAGTTTCCTTTTTCTCAGCTGCTCTAATTCGAGGGTTCGTCACCTGTCATGGCAACGTCTCCAGAGGGGAACTGAGCGTCTCCGTGTGCGATCCGTCCTCGTTACTGTCTCCTCGGCTCTTTGTTTGCCTCGTCTGTCCCCGGAAGGCTTATTCTGCTCCATGAGCTCACCATGACAAACACACACACACACACACACAGTAATCCTCATGTTTCTGAGGGCAGGAATTAGTCTGGAGCAAAAAGACACAACTCAGAGAGCAGGACTTGTTCTCCTGCCTTCATGACACTTGACCCCGGCGTGCTCTTCCATCCTCATGAGGACCAGTCTCAGCCTTACACCGTCGTTTGACCTTTAAACTGCTGTTCAGACTTTGTTTTAGAGCTTAGGTTGGAATTAGGTTCAGGTTTTGCTTGTGACTATTTCAGCGTTAACCCTCATAAAGATAGAAGTCTGTGTGTGTGTGTGTGTGTGTGTGTGTGTGTTCCAGTGTGAGTCCTGTAATTAGCCAGTGTTTTCACTGAACTCAGGCTCCCCCAGAGGAACGTCTTGCTGCTCAAAG